ACATCACATTTGCACACATTGCAAAGCCAAGTTGGATCTTTTCTCACTTGTGCAATTATTATACACTCACGCGCATTTAACCAATCAGTAATCGTTGAAAGGGTCACGTGCCGATCCAATATTTTACAATATTGGACAGGAACCTATTGGGCAGTTGCGAATTGTGGCTTTTTTCATGGTTTTTCAACCCTTTTCAGATGTTTTGTCAATTTCAAACACATGACAAACGATATGGCGGAATATCGAAAAGAATTTTGGACATTAATACAGTTTTTTCTACCAGTTTTGTTTAAAATTATAAAAGCGCGGGAAAACTTGTCTTCGCGAAATTTATAATTTTGTTTGCAACAGCCTAGAAGTTAGTAATATTATTTTTTTCATTAAAATTAGGTCAAATTTCCTTTAAACATACATGGAATTGAGTTTATTTATGCACACATATTTGTAAAAACAGGTTTATTAACTTTTTTTTAGTTATTTAAGCAAATTCGCCGCCGATATATGTAGTAATGTTGTCGCTTTATTAGTCTCGCTGTATTTACTTTATCGCTTATTGACAATTTTTGTTATAGAATTGTTTTGTTCGATATAATAAAACTCCTATTGGATTCATCTTCGCCCAATATGGCAAAATATTAAGTCTCGACTTCAATATTAGGCTCGACCTTCGGTCTCGCCCAATATTGAAGTCTCGACTTAATATTTTGCCATATTGGGCTCAGAAGAATCCAATAAGATATATTATCTGGTTAACCAATAACCAGGCATCTTTGTTGAAGTAAGGTCTGAGCCTTGACACATTCACATTTTCATCGATTAAACCAGGGTTCACCTTTTCTGGTCGGACTTCGACAGCAGTTTCGTCGATAATACCACCACTCAATGCTGAAGTAACATCATCTTTTGACAATAACCATGACAACATAACTAAGCATATAAAAATGATAATTATTAATATTTAAAAACTAGTTTAGTTCATAGATATTTTTACTATTATAATACTGTTTTTTTTGTCCCAATCTCTTACCTTTATCTTTATCAGTAGCCTGCTTTTTCATAAAAGGTGTTGGCTTATCCTTTCCAGAACTCTTCTTCTCCTTCCTTTTTCTTGGTATTCCAATGACTGTCAGGTCAGCTCCTTTTGGACGTCCACGTTTGGGCATAACAGGAGGGATTTTGATCTGACTACAAACTGCTGGAAAAGTACAACATATATATCTTGCTGACCTTTTCTTTGTGAAAGTGGAGCACATTGTATGTGTGAAAAAGATGCAAACCTACTGTACCTTGTGGTTGAGTTGTATTCACATCAGCTAATGGGACACTCTTGTCTGGTTGGATTTCTACGTTTTCTAAAAATGGAAAAAATCTGTTTAATTATATGTCCACCCACTCATTGAACTCATGGTTTTTGTTTTACCAATGTTGGAGTGATGCTGTGATTCAGTAATGCTTGACTGTGTTACTTCTGAATGAGATATTGGACTGGTTATCACAACTTCTTCTGTATGGTTTTGTTAGTTATCTAGAAAAAATGTAGACAATGTTACAATCTCCTCGTTTCTATGGTTTACCGAAAATCCATAAACCTGAAATTCCATTGAAACCGATTGTGTCCTTTGTGAATTCTCCTACATATAGAGTTTCAAGTTTTTTTTTGGCAAAAATTTTGTCCCCTGTGGTGGGAAATACTGTACCATAAACACTGTAAAAAATTCCTGTCATTTTGCAGAATTTGTGAGAGGTAAAACTCTTAGCGCAGATCAAGTGTTGGTATCATTTGATGTCGTTTCCTTGTTTACAATTATTCCAGTTGATCTTGCCATCAATGTGGCGACAAAAAGAGTAAGACAGGATGCCACTTTGTTATGCAAACAACATCCTGGCCTGTGGAAGATATTATTGATCTTCTGTCTCAACACCACATACTTTGTGTTTGAGGCTTGTTATTATCAACAGGTTTTTGGAACAGCAATGGGGTTACCAACATCAGCAGTAATGTTACAATGACTTATCTCATTTTTTTTCTGAATTTACCAATGTTGGAGTAATTTCAGGGCAGTGGAGCCGGTTGTTAGCCAGAAATAAAAAAATCCTTGTTTAACTGAAATTGGGGGAAATTACTGTAATTGAATATTTATAATATAGCTCTATTAAAACTGTGTTTAAATATTTTTTTATTGTACTGTAGCTAACACCCTGTGGAACAATAACCATAGTAATAGAATAGATGGTTTGGAAACTCATTATTTATGTTAGTCAACCTTTATTCATAAATCTAGTCGTTCACGGTCACATGCCTATTGTATTTTTGCCCAACTAACCAATAGTGGATTTGGCAACACCAAAAATAGATAATGAGATTCTAATGAGTTTCCAAACCATCTATTCTATTAACTATGCAACAACATACCCTCATTGTCGTCCTGCACAACTCTTTGCACAGCAATTTCTTCGCCATTTCTCCATGCTGCCAATATCATTTCCAAAATAGCATTCTTTTGGTGGAATTCTCGAATAGGAAATTCTGATGCACATGTTGCCAAAGCTTGGCATGTTGCAAAGGTTTTCCTGTACTTCTCATGCTGTGACATGATATTTTTTGTTGCCGGTTGCTGAACACATATTGGAGCCATTTCCTCTGGAGTTGAACTAAACTCATGTCCCTGGCTCTTGAGGACATGATGTTTAGACTTGTAGTAAGCCACTGTCCATCTTGTAGCACAGATAGACAAATCAAAAGCATCCTTCTTCAATATACTGCGAACTGCAAAGATGTGCCGGCAAGGGAGCATCATTGCTGTGAAGAATGCACAGTCACAATGACAGTCTGAAACAGTTAATTTGCCGGATGATGCATCAACTTCAAAATCATCAGTGATTCCCAACTCCTTTCTGTGCACGTTTTTAACTTTAGTAGCCAATTGTAGCTGTTGAACAACATAGCCAAATGCATAAGGAGTCAAACGTGTCATGTATCGGGCTTCCGCTGTACCTTCAGCATACAGACAAACAGGTCGTTTTTGCAAAAATGTTATTGCCCTGTGGTCACGTGTGGTCCTGATGGACTGAAACACCACTAAAAGTTCCTCGTAAAATTGGTCAAGGCCAGTATTCCTGGTACACACTGTCTTGATCTTTTGATTCAGGGATTCTAATCTAAAGAGATTTTTAACTTCAAGGAAAGAACCATTACAGTATACTAGCTAAGTGAAAGTCACTGTTAGGCAAAAAAAAAACCCTGAAAAAAATAGGGTCGTTGGGAACTGGAACCACAAGTATTTTTTTGTTAAGCATTAGCCAGATTTGTCCAAAGGGTTCTAAAAGGACAAAAGCCCCCCTCCCTCCCACTAGGAAAGGGCAGTTACTTACCTGTTGTTAGTTCGGTTAAGGAATGTCAAGTTTGCTGACTTGAGACCCTCAACCCACTCCCGGTGGTCTTCATGCCAGTTACTTTTGAAGTATTCCAAGACACTGGGGACACTCGCTTTCTCTAAATCAGCGTACAAGCTTTGGTACTCTTCTCACTCTTGGCATATGACATCTTTTGGAATATTTCCAAACACAGGTTCCGTTCTTCCGGGGTTATGCCCATTTTATCTGTTGTTACCTCCCTTCTGAAAGATCTCTGTGAATGGAAGAGGCATATGGACAAATGGACATTAGGAAACTCCTCTTTGAAGACTTGTCTTTCAACAAAGTCTTTGTCAGTCATGACTGTTTTAGTCTCTGTCCATGTCGGATTATGATTTTTAAAGATCTGGACCATTTTCTGAATGGTTGGCTTTTCTTCATTGGAGACAATGAATGTGCAGAAGATCTCGCTTTCTCCGTTACCGTCTTCCCCAAGCATTATATACAGAGGCATTTTGAGTTCGTTCAGTTTGTATGTGGCATCGATAAACAGCATCTCTGGAAACGAATCATATGCAATCTTCATTGGTTTATCTTGATAATATATACCCAACAGGTTGTTCTCTTCATTCAGGACAACTTCTGCAGTAGCACCTAAAAAGAAAGTTCTTAATTAATTACAGAATGTTTGCACATGACTTCACAGCCGCCATGTTGGTGTTCCAATTCAAAATAATTTTAATCCATTAAGCGCCAGCGCTCTCCCCTTGACGAGTAAAATCGTCTGGCGTTAGACAGAGTAAAATACTAAAGTAGGGTGCATCAGGGTGCAATGCGACTCAATGGGTTAATTAGACTTTTTTTCTGGAACACCAATTAACATGGCTGCCATGGCTTTTGTTGAGTTGGTCCCTGTGGAATGAGTGCAAACGGCAACACTCAAATAATCTTCAATGCTATTCACCATCTATCATTCATTTCCATTCATTTTATATACAAATGGAATGATTGATAACACTGCCTCATTCTGAACAGACAAACAGATAACATCTGTCTCATTCTGAATAGACAAACAGATATTCTTACTTCTTAACCTGCAATTTAACTGTAGATATATAAAAGCTGTACTGCAAAGTGCAAACCATCACAGGCCTATGTTTAGCACATATAGCTGTACATAGATTCTCTAGGGTACCAGTATGTAACATTGGTGCATATCTACTGTAAGAAATTCATTAACTTAATAATACCAATGTAGGGTACACAACACAAAATACTTAATGCCTATAGAAGTCTTAATTAATTGCAGAGGTGTAACTTAATACTTGCCTGGGGTAAGTGGATATCATGACGGGCAAGTGAACATTTTATCTTGCCTGCCCGATTGGGCAAGTTGCCTTGCCAAAAAAAACCTGGGCATCTTTAAGTTAATGTTTTAATAGTTCATGTACTTGATTTCAAATTTTGTTTTTTGTGGGCCAACGCTAGATCTAATGCAGTATAACACTGTAGCCATATAGAGCAATGGAAGAGCGGGTTGACCGGGGGGGGAGGGGGTGAGTGATTACGAAAAATTCCTATTAGATAGCATATTTCCCACAAAATTTCCCACAATATTGCCTGACTATGAAGCGAATATTGCCCGACTGGCTTTGTTTGCCCAACAAACTGGGGGGCTGCCGCCCCCTCCCCCCGCCCAGTACGCCCATGTAGCAATATACATGAAAAAATAAATTTGTTATCACATGAATATTGTGCTTCAGTGGTGTGTCTCTTGCAAAATTGTTTGTCAACAGTGCAGGCTCTCATTTCACCTTGAGAGCCTGCTGGCAAGCTACAGTAGATCAAAGCATACCTTCATTCTCCCGAAGCTTCTTCACAAGCTTTTCAATGTCATTTCGATTAGACTTGCTAGACGACAATTTTGCTTTCATGTTTGATATGTCACGACACGTCACTACTTTCCCACTTATCGTTTGCAAATGATTCTGCAAAACTTTTTTGTTGCACTTCATCTTCAACAATTTGTCCGTCTCGCTCAATGTTTCATTACCTAGTCTTCTTTGCTTTGGGAAGTGCTTAAACGATACCTTAAAATAATAGAGATCTATTACCTGGGGCATTTGACTTGAATTTTTTTTTCAATTTTCTCATAATACTTCTCTACCTACAGTATCTAAGACCATGGTGGCCTATTTATTTTACCCCACACACATCACCCAGTAATGTCATGTTTGTTGCTGATCACATGGTATCCGGTCATTTCACCCCCAAGTCGATTCAAAGTCATTCGATACCAAAGTTATTCCGCCTCCAAGTCATTAGATGTGAAAGTTGTCCACCCCAACCCAAAAAAACCAACTTATCAAATAAAGCAATAAACAATTTTATCCATACTCCACCCCCTTCGGATGTCTTAACACACTTACTATTATCAGGATGCAGTGACCAATGTGCTAATTATTTTTTTTACAATAGAGAAATGACACAATTCCCTGGGCTGTGATTATCAGGGGACGAAACTACTTTGACATCTTATTACTTGGGGGCACAAAATGGCTTTAGGCGAATCAACTTTGGGCAAATCAATTTGGGAACAAATTGACTTGGGGGCTTAAAAGACTTGTATTCAGTCACATTGCTATTCACCCTAGCAATTGAGCTAGGCCTATGTCACAATTTGACAATGAAAAGCTGAAAATTGCATTGGATTATCAACAACAAATAACAGCAAATTTCAGTATAAACCAAATTAAATCTAAACACAACATACCTCATCGCATTCGTGATTATGGGTCTCATTGAGGACAGCCACTTCCAGAAAGTTACCATCTTTTGTTGCTCTCAACTTCACTTCCATATTGCAATCCTTTCTAAACGTGCTATCAACAAACGATCAAAAATCCTTAGACAAAGGTAACAACTTTACATTGAGAATTTTAAAGAAAAAACTAACCTTTGATTCGGCCTTGTTCCTTTTGACTTCGATTTGAACGTTCTGCCACCAGCAACGCAAGCGTAATTGATGTGCGAGTACTGCAACTCAGCTTTGATAACCTTGCTTGGCGTTCTTTTAATTGTCGAAGAAATCGTTCTGGAGTCATTTACATACAAATTGACATAATTCTTCTTTTCATAGCGACTGATCGCAGCTTTGACCTCTTCAAAAGAGGAAAATATTTGCCCTAATTTCAACGATGTGTCGTCCGCCATATTTACCATATCGCACGTGTTTGAAATCGTGAATATGTTTGAATCGCGCGTCGAATCCAATCCCGCGTGTAACTGTGTGCAAAAGCAAACTGCGCATCATGTCAGATGAATAGCCATCAGACATTGAGTTCCGGTGTCGGACGAATATCCACGGCGTATTTTGAATTACCTTTCCGCTTTCATTCATCAACCAATACAACATAACTATGCAAGCATTCACCTTATGCATTCACATCACTTCTAAGATCTTTCGATATTCAACACTCGAATTCTCGAATACCACGTAGCGACCTTTGATAGAGAGTCAGGATGGGTTTATTTTTTTCTCTACAGTTCATAGTATATTTCTGAATATAGTATTTAGCGTTTGAATAATTGCGCGTCTGTGCGTGATTTGACAACAATCAATCACTGAAAGCGTTTAACCGTGTTGTGAGCCAATCAAATCACTGCGTGTATTGGCTTTGCCAAGAATCAAATTTCGTGAAAACCGTTGGACTTTGAATCTTGTATATTTTCCTTGTGCGCCTCGGAAGCTTTGAAAGATCTATAAACGTTGTAAAAGGAACTTAAATTAATACAAATATGAGAGGATATCAAATATAAAATGTTTTGTACGCCAGGTTTTCTACAAAACCACATAACAGGCCGAGGGTTTGGTGTTTCAAGTATTTGTCCCTACATTCCTGTTTGTCGAAATCAACTGGAACAATATACGGTATGTCGGTTTTAACATCATTTTTTTCATTATTTATACCATTATGTGTATCCACATAGCATTCTTATCCATGCCTATATAACATAGAGAATAATCTCATCGATGCGCGGAAATACCAGATTTGTTTCCACTGTTGAATATGATATCTCAAGAGTGAGCGCAGCGAACGAGAAGCCTGTATTTGACTAAAAACGGCGGCTTCAAAAGAACAGTAGCCTAATAATAATTATATAACTACACGATTACAGATTTGGTATGCGACTTTGGTGGCAGCGACCACTTTATTAAGCAACAAATGAATAAACCGCGCGATACCAATCATTCGTTTTTACAACAAAAGCATGACTTGACTCCACAACAATTATCACCATAAAAAACTGATGCTATAATACAGTATATAGCGCGGTCACGTTTGATCAAATGTGAAGTCTACACATGGATCCTATTGCCGCTTGATAAAGATATATATTTTAGTTATTTGCATATATTTTATCAAAGTATATTTTATTAAGGTCTATTTTATTGAGGTATTAAGGCATAATATTTCTAAACATTGGCTTAAAAAATCAGGCGAGGAATACTCTATAACCTCACTATATATTCAGTTTATAATTAGTTTAAGTTAGTTTTTTATTAGCACACCATTCTGTGAATATAAAACCAGTCCTATGATATAAACATACTGTATATACCTAATGAATGAGTTACGAGTCTAAGCAGCATGCAGGTGTAGGTAAAGTATGAAGTAGTCTAAAAAGGCAATCTAGGGTAGACTTCAATGATCTGGTTTCTTGCACTTCACTTGGTGGTATTAATATTTGAATGGTGTTCTTAGGGTTTCTAATCCAAGTTGGTATATATTTATACATTTTAAGACTTGACCAGGAACGACTGCGAAAAGTGCAGCACAAGGTCCTCTGGTAGGAATCGAACCCACGGCCCTGCGATTCCGGTGCAGCGCTTTAACCAACTGAGCTACAGAGGCCAGCTGTTGAGCTGTAACCGTAAGTTCATGTATATATAGGTGATTGGGTGTGCGGATTGAGATAAGGTGGACTTCAGTGATCTGGTTTCTTGCACTTCACTTGGTGGTATTAATATTTGAATGCTGTTCTTAGGGTTTGTAATCCAAATGAGTATATTTATATACATTTTAAGACCTGAGCAGGAACGACTGCGAAAAATTCAGCACAATATCCACTGGTAGGAATTGAACCCACGGCCGTGGGTCATTGAAGTCCACCTTATCTCAACCCACACAGTGACACCCGATCACCTATATATGCATGAACTTACGGTTACAGCTCAACAGCTGGCCTCTGTAGCTCTGTTGGTTAGAGCGCTGCACCCAAATCGCAGGGCCGTGGGTTCAATTCCTACTAAAGGAGCTTAATTGTGCTGCATTTTTCGCAGTCGTTCCTGGTCAGGTCTTAAAATGTATATATATACTCACTTGGACTACAAACTCTAAGAACAGCATTCAAATATTAATACCACCAAGTGAAGTGCAAGAAACCAGATCATTGAAGTCCACCTTATCTCAACCCGCACACCCGATCACCTATATATATATATGAACTTACGGTGACAGCTCAACAGCTGGCCTCTGTAGCCCAGTTGGTTAGAGCGCTGCACCGGAATCGCAGGGCCGTGGGTTCAATTCCTACCAGACGACCTTGTGCTGCATTTTTCACAGTCATTCCTGGTCAGGTCTTAAAATGTATATATATATACTCACTTGGATTACAAACTCTAAGAACAGCATTCAAATATTAATACCACCAAGTGAAGTGCAGAAACCAGATCATTGAAGTCCACCTTATCTCAACCTGCACACCCGATCACCTATATTATAATGTACATGAACTTACGGTTGCAGCTCAACAACTGGCCTCAGTGTAGCTCAGTTGGTTAGAACGCTGCACCGGAATCGCAGGGCCATGAGTTCAATTCCTACCAGAGGACCTTGTGCTGCATTTTTCGCAGTCGTTCCTGGTCAGGTCTTAAAATGTATATATATACTCACTTGGATTACAAACCCTAAGAACAGCATTCAAATCTAAGGTAGTATTGTCTAAGGCAATCTAAGGTAGTATTGTTGAAGAAAGTAATCTAATGTTAGCTTAAGGTAATCTAAGGTGCCTTTAGTTAACAGTTATCAAAATTATCCACAGTGATCAAAGGTTAAGACAGAGGTAATCTAAGGTAAATTTTATACATTTTCAGACCTTACCTAGGCAGGAGTTAACTATAAGTTACAACGCTGCACCTGAATTGCAAGGCCGTAAACTGAGCTACATTGTCAAGTCCCTCAGCATTAGCTGCAATTCGTGCATATTAATAATACATTAAGGATTTTGGGCATCTCACTTGACAAAAGTTTTTGTCCACATTTAATGAGTGGAGCTTCCAACAGAAATATTGTTAAATAATAATAATAATAATAGATGGAAATTTGGAACATATTTATAAGCGTTTAGACTTTTTAGAGACATGTTATAAAAAATACAACTATTGACCCTTTGATACAGTGACGAAGCCAGCCCGAATTCATTACCAAATTGCTGGGAATCTGAACTGCTTTGACAGGAATCAATTAACCTGCATCAATCCGGTGCAGTACTTTTAAGCTACAGAGATCAGTTGCCAAGCATTAACTGCATGCTCATGTATCTCTGAGTCCAGATGCATTGTGGCTCACAGTATTATTAGCCAGACTCATTTCATTGTTCAAGTTCATGGACTCTGTAGTTCAATTGGTTAGTGTGCTGTACCTGACAGAATTCCCGCCAGAGGCCAACAGAGGCATGCTATGCAGCCGCTGAAGGTTAGGCCTGATTCCTGAACATGTATTAATATTTCCCCTTAAAAG